TGTATGTATGTGTGTACCTGCGAGTACGGAACGAACCGACTGTATCAATCCATTCTAACTAATGTTAACGTTAAATGCTGCATCTAGCCTTTACGAAGCACCTGGGAAAGAGCGAAGGCTGTAGACACAGCTAGAGTCAGGACTGGGCACGGATCATCTTATGATCTTACTAATAATGTACCTATCTAGGCTCGAGAGGTGCTATGCGAAACTAAGAGGAAAAGTGATGGGAGGAATAGCCGTATTCTTTTGGACATTACGAACGATAGATAGGCATAGCTAAAAATAGGAACAGGAATGAAGACAAAAGTTTAGCACCTAGAGAGCTATTGAGGCAGTTCATGGTAGCATGTGATCTATGGTTCAGCAACGAGCGTCAATCTATTCTGAACCGAACACAAATCGAACTATAAGCCAGCCAGCCAGCCAGCCAGCCCGCCGTCAACGATGTCGCGACACAAATCATCCGTCTCGCCGTTCATCAAACGGACCCACCCAGCCAACAAAACAACGGTACAGGTAGCGGTTTACACATTAGCTTAACTTGACACGGAGTTAGTACAAAAGGCCGATTTGACCTATCAGTGGTAGAGCTGTGGCAACACGCAACATTGTAGATTGGAAGTGACCCCGCTACCGTTCCGATATGGCAGGTTTCTTACTCTTCATTGCCGCTGTGTTATTGACAAGGGATAAATCTTCGTATTGTTAATATGTAATCATCATATTAGGCATAGCAAACTCCAGTATCTCCTTAGCTAACAGTAGCAGTATGGTTAAGATGATGGCAGTTGCCCGGTGTGTCGGACTGGTTCTTGTTTAAAATCGGTGCAATAAACGTATGAGCAAGATAGGAACAGTGCGAAATCGTTTCGACAATTAAATGCGTCAACTGAATAGAAAGGAAGTGACCTACGATGAGGACTTTTTCTGTCCTAGCAGAACTTGTTTTGGCTGCAGGCAGTAGCGACACAGTAACTATCCTAACATTAGTTAAATATAGATATGGAAGTCGCTGTATAATAACAAGACGCTGTTATAGAACTGTTTCTTCGTCAGTAGTTGATGGCGTACAGATGGTTATTTCAGCTGTTATTAGAGTCGTCCATCATCGCTTCATATAAGGCAAAACGAAACAAAAATAGAATTACTTAGGGCAGTCGATTGCGATAAGTGCCCCGCTTCCTACGAACTAAGTCAAGTATGTATAAAGCATCTTGTGCTTTTGTTGTGAAGCGTCAAGGAGAGCTAAACAAATTTTAAAGTTAAAGGCCTTCTACAACAAAACATGTACTGCAGTAGTCAAAATTTTACCAGTAAAAAGCGTTATTTAAATCTGATTTGAAAAACAACTGATTGTATCAAATTAATAACGTACAGCAGAAAGATTGAGTATATTTATTACTCTCGTCTAGATTAGTTAGGATCCTTTATTGCTTGCTTTCAATGTAGATTAGGCCTGCAGTGTCACCATACAGCGCCATAGGTGGCTGGCAAGTTACAGGTAGGATCATTCTCGAAAATGGCCGTTTCTATAATAACCTTAAAGTTTATACTTACAAATATGTCTAATATAAAAGTAAACATTACAATTTCGTCAAAGATTTAGCAGCAGATGTAACTTGTTCAAAGATTAAAGTTAACGTAATCTCGACTTACCGAAAAATTCATTTTTAGTATAGAGAAAACTTCGATCTCGGCACAGTACGTACATACACACGCACGCACGCACGCCAACATGGTTGAATGTCAGCGGTAGCTGGCGATGAAAATGCAACAGAGCGGTCTTATTCCATTGGCTCTTTGCACTAGAACATAGGTGGAAGTTGGATCGGGTCATTGTTATTCTGGCCGTCTTTGTTTATTTCATCACAGTCATTCACACCAGGATTCTCTATGGTGATACGTGCTGCGTAATTGAAATGCACACTCTCAATTTTATAGTCGTAATTATGAAGACATCGAACAGTTATCTTCAACCACTTTAAAGATATATATATGTATATATATATTATGTTTATGACATGTTCATTTTTTTAATGGTTCGTCCAATCAAACCAATGTCAGGCTAATACTATACGCATCTGTCTGCACTTTACGAATCAGTCTGCCATAATGGCCCGCCGTGGTACCTCATTTTAGGCCGAGTTACGGCAATCAAAGCTTAACATATTTGCCTCATTAGCCAGTGAGATTTAGCTAGAAAGTAGTATGAGTCTGTACGTCGATTACGTTTACCTGAAGGATGCGTCGGCTTAATGGTGGAGTGAACGTTCGCGTCAAGTACCCTTGTACAGCCTAGGAATGGTCTATGGTAAAATTTATTGAAGTTAGAATAAACAAGCGCGTGCTGTATTCTGCAGACAATAGTTGAAGCAATTCATAATTGGCTGTAACAGCCGAAAGTACGTAAGACCAAGACAAACCTGGACAAATACTTGGGAGCATACGTAAGCATATTAGCCCTAGCTTTACTATATAAACAGCGAACGCAGTAAACCGAGAAACGGTCAAAGCAGATGTTTCCATTCTACAGTTTCCCAGATAAGTTACGAGCCCTACATTGGAGCGTCGACATCTCCACAGTTTAGCTCGTAAGGCACGCAGCGTACTGACATGCGTTGCTAGATCGGTCACTGAAACCGTCACCCCTAGCTAGAAACGTGCCAGTGTTACGTTTCGCAGAGGCCAATTGTGCTACGAATTTACGTCCTTGAAGAAATAAAGTCGTTATAAGATAAAATACTAAATGGGGATTTTTTAGGCCAAAGTATCACCTGAAATCTATTTATTTAGTGCTAATTAGCAATCAGTTGACGACTATTTAACTTGCTAACTTCGCTAACGTACGCATCAGCACCATGATCATGTGTGTTATATTACTAAAGATTAAGTCTCATATCTTAGGCTGAATTTAACAATGAAGATAATAAAACCCTGTGGAAAATTTTCTAAACAATCATAAACTCACTTACCATCACAGTAAGTTAATAGTTATAAACTTTTTATCTATCTATATGTTTATCTACCCGATGCGTATATAATTATTATTCAGGTAAGAGGATCTAAGAGCAACTTTAAATGGTCTATCTGACTAGCGAAACACTGCTATTAATCAGGTACACAAATTTTTGTTGAAAAGTTCCGGTGCTCTCAGACATATCTTCAACTACCGAAAGAAATATTTACTAAAAAAAAATGCTTTTATAGATGTCGCCATTACCATGGATGCATTCGTTATAACAACTTTGTTTATTAACTATGATTCCTAAGTAACTTGTTATTAACACTGTGAATTATATAAACGCCTAAACGTAACGTAACTTGAGATTTGGTATACGTAGTAGTTCTACGTTTTTTTTTGCTACATCATGCTGAATAAAGGTGCTTCCCACCTTGAACTCGAACAACGCAGAAAAGACTTTACAAGGGCATGTTAGAAATCATTTCTGTACTTCTAAATATTGTATGAAGATTAGCTCACTGAAAATCTCATTGGTTAATATCCTGCCTGTACGCTATTGGTCACCTTATTTACCATGAACTTCTAATAACCGAAGTTCCCTTTTTACCTGAAAAGCGTTTCTCAAATTGAACAGTCGTCGAGAATACGAAGTAAGCTACACGCAGTTATTCGTAAAGGCTGCCACTGCGAAACTTTTGTCGAAAGTTTCGCAGTGGCAGGCCATACGCATGCCTATCATTTACGTTGATGCCCACGAGCGCTAAATAACTGCGATAAAGCTCAAATTCCGCGCCTCACATAAAGAGTCCGCAAGCGGAACAAATAACTCGTGAGTGGACGCTACGCTTATAATATACATAGAGGTGAGCACATCTATGCTAGCAAAACGCTTAGGTTCATCACTATCCTCAGTCGACCCCCTATCGAAAGTCGAATTATGTTCCTAGTCATTACAATTTGGGGTTTCTGCTTTGAGGCACCCCATTTGTGTCACGAAAATTGGCACAAACATTCAAAGGTGACAGCGTTCCGATAGGAACAAACAAGAATCTCGACGATTCTAACGAGTTCCAACGAAAGACTCTACATTTTTCGTTACTTCTCTTTGTATCAAATAATAAATTTTGCTTCATGCTTGTGCATAATTGTTGTTTCGTATTCTATGAATTTTACGGAATGGAAGTGAACGACCACAATGTCGTTCCTCTACATCGCATCGTATAAGGAATATTATTATAGCTTTTTTTTTTATTTACACGAGTTGTACGGCGTGTGCCATTGACGGGACGTGAGGCAGCGACCTCTCGACCGTTTTAACTCGAAGCCTGACGATCTAGGCCGTCACGTCTTTTCGAGTTAAGTTTGTACAGAGCTTAGAAGCGCTCGTCAAACGTTGTCTTCTCAGGAAATCAGGGCAAAAATAGCGCTTGTCTGCTGTGTTGCGGTGGTTCGTTAAATACTTCGCAAAAGGTGTATGAAGTGCGAAGAGCAACGGGCTAGTCAGGATACGCTTTACGACCTATCCTCTTTGCCACTTAATCCGTTGAAATGCTCTGTACTGATAATATGAGGTGATCAGTCTCACGTTATACTTACTGGAGCCCATGCTAAAAAATGGTGATCAAGGGAATCGTCAGTGAGTAGCAGATATCAAACGTCGTTGGCTGCCTGGCTTCGGTGGAACGCTGATGCCGTGGGGCTCGTTGTTCTTGGTCGGTAGTGAAGACCAATAATGGCGCTACCGTACACTTCGTTCTACATATATACACCGAATAAGGGATCCGATAGGGATGGTGAATCGTGCTCGCCGACGAGGCTAGACAATCGCTTGCTCTGCCAACGTTTGGTGGGAACTGTAGACAAAGACGGCGAGAAAATTAACACCGTCCTAGTGAACACCAATTAACGCTAGTGACAACTCCGCTGCTGGAAGACTTCGCTGGAGAAACAAAGCGTACATTTGGTCGTTTATAGATAGGACACGTTACGTAGGCGTAAGGTAACGTACCTATCAATGAAATAGGACTGTACTAACCTTTAACATCCATCATAGCAACAGGCGCGACAAAAACAGCTGCGTCAACAGATTCTTCATTTGAAGTAACGCTGTCCTAGTAGGAGAAATGCGGTGCGGGACAGCGTAATCGTAGTTGAACTAGAATGAGTAACACGAAAGTATGACAACGAAAAGAGGTTAACGGATACATCACTGATATCCGCTATTACTTATTCTATGGAAATAGTGATGCTAGCCGGTGCTTGGTCCGCCCGCCTATACTGAACAATCAGCTATAACAATAATAATTGGTTCTTTTCGCCGCAAAAGCCGTTGTTAATGCTCTGGTGAGGTGGTATTTGTCTTTCGAGTAAATGTCGATAATTAAATATAATTATAGACAAGTGAAGCGACGAAAAAATAGCCCGGTAGGGTGAGAGAAGGAACATCAAAGAGCAGTAAAAATACAGTAGAATGACAAATATGTATGAGAGATGGTCGTATTAGAGTCGTACTCGCTGCCGATGTGTTCTTTGCATGGCATTATTTTTCACGGTTGCCATCAGAGGAGGGACATTGTCGCCCCATAGCAAAATGCAGACATCTCTTCAGTTCGCTCTTTCTTTCGCCATCTGTCGCCGTTTCTCGATACGCCATCTCTGCGTCGTCGGCGTGTTACACGTCGATCACATAGGGAGGATGCAAGAAAAGGCGTGTGTAGCACAATTTTAGCGTCCGCTTTTGGTCCACGAAAACGAAGTACTGCCCAGTGCTTCGGTCCATCCGGCTGTACAATGGTAAACAAGTCGGAAAAACTGGCGTGCTTTTTTGTCGCAGACTATCAACACTGTAATTATTATTATTGTACAAATGTCAGTTACTTCATGAGTAGTAATCGCGGTTGCAGTAGCAACCGAGAGAGGAACGAGAACACTCGCTTATGTGCACAGCCTATTTGTCGCTTGGGTTGCCTCCAACTATTCGTTCAAGCACTTTACTCTGATGAAGGGCCGCGATGAGCTGGCGAACACCGCCCGAAGAAATATGTCTAGTTATTATTACATTGATTACCAAATGTCAGATGGTAGCGACACCGATGGCGACTTTCTTTTTGGCGTCGGCCGAACTGTAGCACCACCGGGGCAGCGACGAAGCGAAGACAAAACTGAATTTATAAATACATGTAGATAGATTGTAATACACCAACTAAGAACAGCGACAATGTCATATAGCCAATACGCCGTTTAGCGTATCGTATGAGCGTCTATGTGTGGGCAGACGATGAGCTCAGAGGAACTACTAGCGTGCTGTGATCCTGTTTCGTCATGATAAAAATACTACACTGGTAATTTTCCACTTTTTTTTTTACTTTAGCCATTGGACAACGATTGATCATTGCTTATTGCCATACAGACAGCTTGGCAACAAACAAGCAAATGACTATAAACATCTAACCATAGGTCTGTAAAATAAATTTCCAGCAGACAAATACACACACGTACGCGGGCAACGTAGTTTAGAGATGTCTTTGAGACACCCGAATTGTGTCCCTTCTCGTCAGTTTTGTTCAAGGCACTGCACGGCGGCGCTTAGGATATAGGCCGCTCTCCAAATGCCGATTGCCCCCGGTGTAAGGAAGCCAACAGAGTCTTCTTACCTTGGTTGACCCGATTTCTCATCACGTCGACTATGTCAATTAACGCGCTGATGGAGCAAATCTCCCGTGCGTTCCTTTTTTCGTCCTCTCCTCTTCGTTCTCTCTAGGGAAACGTGGTGCTGTGATAAAGGCTGCGTAATTCTGCTCGTTATTCTCGCTTACACAGTAGAGCTGCGATACGACTTATGGTACGACTACAATATCAGCCGCGACAGTTACGCAGGTACTCAAGGAAGTAAACATCTTCATAGTTCACTCGGGAGTAAAACAAAGCGGATAAAAGATGTAACACAATAAGGATACTAGAGTTTTTATTTCAGTACTCGGAAAAGAGTTGGCGACGATCGTAACTGCAGCGGCTGCCGTTGGAAGACCCCACGATCGTCGCCTCTGTCGCTTTTGTGCATCGCATCGCGGCTCTGCCTAATCGTTTCCGCTAAGAGAACGACAGCAAATCTCGCTATTTGAGCGATTGAGGTAGATTATGTCGCGTCGTAGAAAGCGTAGCCGCCACGGACATATCTTTGTAGGTAGGCTACGTTGCTAAATAGTCACAGGAAGGCGGATACGTAGACGCACTGTTTAGTAGATTGCTACATGTGATATATTGCGGTCAATACGTTTTGCAAAGTAAAATGATTAGAGGAGAATTGGATGCAGGTGCTACAGATCGAAACGGCGTTCGCAGTGTCCCAAAGTTAGGCTTAGATTGTATGCTTGCTCCGTCTGTTGCCCGCTCGACTTTTTATGCAGGGGGTCGTCAAGGCCGAGTGTTGATTAGGTAGGCTTAGAACATACCTGGTCAGATAAGTTAGCCAACTGTAACAGTGATTCGGTCTTCGCATCGTGCGCGGCTTTGATAACGTACGCTTCGGCTGCAAACTAGATAAGTGCACACAGTTATTACTACGTTGGTAAACGTGCTCCGCAGAGACGTACTTTCGTTTGTGGTCACACTGCCGTGTACGGTGAATAGTCAAAGCGAGTCGGCGGAAAGGACAAAAAGGTTTCAACTACAGGGTAGATGATGAGGTTATCTATATTATATCTATTTATTATATCTATAGTATAATATCTATATTATAAACAAGCGACGAAAACCGCTAGCAAAGCCACCATCAAAAGCCCCCAGCATATAAGAGATCAGTAACGATGACTAAAGTGAGCGAAGTCAGCTACGCGGAGGCGTCCTGATTTGAAAAGAAGTGCGCATTAAATATTTGCGTTCTCGCCAACGAAAATAATGAATACTAATTAAGCAGAGGATTCAATGTCAAACGAGTTACGGCTTGTGTGGACCGAGGCGCGACTCAGGCTATTGAGGAGAGCTCCATTTATTGAGTATGCAGCGAGCATCGTGGAGTTGGTTGAGTGGGTAACGATAAATCCATCTTTTAGATCTTATCAAGATTTTATCTCATTGAGTTAACCGCACTACATCGTGCGATCGAGATATCAGGCAGAAAGACAAATAAAGCCGTACGCAAACCGAACAGCATTTATCTCTAGCTACTGAGAGTCCAGTATTTGCATCACATGATCCATGCGTACAGAGCCCGAACAGGGTTGTGCTAAAATGGTTTCTCATTTTGATTAGATACTTTAAAGTACTAAGGCCAAAGCGCACAGAGTCAATGCATTTAGCATATCCAAACCTGACTACCCACCAGTCTCGACATGCCCTATCCGAAATCCAAAAACATATCCCCATTGCAGTGGATTAAAGCAAGTCAGCACGATATAGATACCTATTCATTGTAAATATCACGGCTGCAATAATGGCTCTCTCATTTATTAAATCTTGTTAATAGAAAAGAAGTATAAAAGTAAAATGAAACTTGACCCTCAGTTATCAGGAATCAGCATTTGCCGTTAACCAAATACAGATGATCCGGATAGCGTAAAACAGATTTCATACATGTATTCCGAGTTAGGTTTTTCCTGATGTTTAAAATCTCTGAATATCTATTGTTATGTCCTACTGAAATCGCGCGGATCATGTGTTCAACGACGAAAACTAGGACGAAATCGGTTTATGTCGGATATTTATTATTTGATCGCCCGATGATGCTGAAGCTACCACATACATTGGATATGGTTTGGGCCCATGAGATGACAAGACGCGACCTGAGTTTAATCCGCGATACTTTCAAAGGAGTGTCAGGCGACTGAAGTTTGGCAACAGCCGGAACCATCGTTTTTCATTTCTAGTGATTACCGATTAGGTGTTTCTGCTTATTTTATCCAATCCGACTGACCTGATGATGCACCGATGCTTGACAGCGGACCTGGCCAGAACCATTGACCTCAGCAGCGTCATACATTCGTCCTTTGTTCCGGATGACGTGCGAGCTTTCAAAGACGGCACGCGGTAGGCGTTAGGAATTTAAAACAGAAATACTCTACTTAATTTCTTGTTTACAATCTTAATCGCCGTTGTAAGAGAAACAAACAGCGGCGGTGCGGTAAACAGCAATAGATCAGTCAGACCTGTAAGCTCACGGTGAGAGTGACTAGCGGAAACTGGACACATCCTTGTCCTCTTGGTTAGCGCTATAGGATCTTTAGGCGACCGGCTACAGACAGAAAGATCCCTCTCAACCGATTTCTTTATTAACCACAAGTCAGCTTGTGGCCTATATGGAGCATTGGTTCGGTCTAGTGCGGTATTTCATCTTCCTCTCTCATATATATAATTTTACAAATACATATAATTTTTACCTTATTTACTCTTCACATTGAGTTTGAGTATCTTTGCCCCTATTTAATTTTAAGCGATATTCGGGGCTTCCGAGGTACAGCGAAGCGTTGACTTCGTTGGGGAAGCAGACGACCAGGATAACAACAATGCTTCAACAAAAACAACAGCAGTGTCCCGGTAACCATTCGTTTATTTATGCATAGAGGCAGGGAAACACAAGGTTTTAAACCAGCCATTGTTAGCGGGTCGGCAGTAGTCGCTTGTGGCTTCTGTATCGTTGTGCTTATGTGCGTATTTTTCTTGTTGTTTTTCTGTTTAGATTATTTCTTCTTTACCTTGTTGAGACTGTGGCTCATACTTACGGATCCGGTGGGGCTTCTGTTCTTACTGCTGTACTGAGCAGTACGTTGTCTCATCATTTTCGCACGCCGCCTCAGCAGACAATGTACTTGAGTTTTTTTTGATGAGGTTGGCTTCTGCTCTTTATCTTCGCCTATTTCGATTTTTGTGCAGCGTTCAGCTCGGCGTGCGATGAGCCTTCCGTTGTCTGTTTAGTGTATGCCTAAACACATATGTGTGTGCGACTGGCTCGCCTGAGTCTAAATTTTCTTTTCATCCGCCTTCACAGTGGTTGTGGCGATCGCGTCGGCCTTTTCAGGGGCCGCACGCAGGTGATACCACCGCAGACCAAACAACATCTAGCAAAGCAAGAGCTATAGCTGCTACTCTCGAAAGGCTGCTGCTACGGCTCCCACATAAGATTAGGCGTCACCGGACGATGAAGACCTCTGTCTGCCCTGAAGCTCTAAAGAAAACGAAGCAAAAGGGGAAGATGAGAATACTAAGTCGGCACCGAAGCCGGTGGAGAAGGCGGACAAATGAATTGAAGGGTCACAGTGTGGCTGCGCCAAAATGATAGACCGAAAGAAAATTAAAGAGAATGAAAATGAAAAAGAAAGATAGAATGAAGAAGGTGTACAAAGGAGTGATGATATAGAATAGCATAAAAGAGCGAAACAGAGTGGGAAACAGCCAGAGAGAACAGAGCACTGAAAGAAATCGAAGTGTTTGATCGAAGTACCGGGTGACTCCGAACTGCTACTGTGTATCGAGTAGCGGCGCTCGTTGCGAGAAAAGCGGCACGAGAGCATCAGCGTTAGAGGAAATACATCTGCGCTGTCTTATGCGCTGGTAGTAGCAATACTGTTAGTAAGCGTGCAAGAGAAAACGGGAACTGGAGTCGACCTAGGCAAAAATGGCGAAGAGAGAAAACGAGCAGATGAAGTAACCATGCCACGTACATCTTCGCTTTTTCAAACATCAATCGGACTGAGGGCTTCGGGCAGACATGCGGGCGCGTTCATACGATCCGGTCTTTTCCGAAAGTATCTCACCCTGTGGCCGGTATTGCGGCCACGTGTGCTTTCTAAAAGGGGTGCATCGTCTTAACGAAAGTTTGCATAAAGGTAACACAGGCAGAGACACGACGCCCGATACTGTCATACGCGGTCAGATTCTTACGGCGACCCTTCGCTGTTTAAGCGATAGAGATGAGTGAAGGCAGCTGCAAACGTGAGAGCAGATAGACCAAACGTCGAAAGGGACGAAGCTCACTTTCTGCAAACTAATATATGAATGAAGATGGCATCCATATGGGTCTGTAAATGATAGAGTCAGGCATGTAGGTTCGGCGGAATAGCAAAAAGATATGCAGCACGACCTTATCTACGCGAGTCGCCAAGGACTAGTTTACTATCAATGTGTATTTGACATAGACTAGACGAAATGTGGTTAGTGCCGAAACGTGCTGCCAGCCAGAGATGTCTCAGACGTCTGATAACTTCAAGGTTGGTGATCCGGTGACGTTAGATGGATCCGCGATAGATGCTTCGGCATTGAATCGGAACAGAGGCGGGTAATCGGTGCGCCAGCAAGCCGCAAAATAGCTATGCAGAAAGGCGTTCCACGGTATGCGAATGCCTGTTGCAGACAGATGAGAATTGGAGACCTATTTAAGAACGGCACAGGGTCGTTCCATGTCGATACGAGGCCGGCGGAAAGCCGAGTTGTGCCTGAGACACAAAAAATAGAACGAGGAACAGCGAATAGGCCCCACAATCATTTATCGATATAATCGTTTAAGGTAGTAGAAAAATTATCGAAATACAATCATTAGGTTGTTACAGCCGTTATCTAAGCCCAATTATACTATAGACTGCCATGTTTAACGCTGAATCCTATTCTATCGTACATCCCTACTACATATCCATACAATAAAGGTTAACTCAGCTCATTTGAATATATATAGAATCAGCCATGGATGGTTTTTACGTAGGGTGTAGTGCTTCTATTTGAAAAATGGAAAGAAGGTGCTCTCTACTCTCTAAACAGATATCGGGGGAGTAGTGATTCCTTAAGGATTTCTCTTTGGTCCCGTCTTCCTGCCCCAGTTTATCCGCTCGCAAGCAGACCGGTGTCAAACGATAGTCTATGTATTCTCAATGACCGAACCGAAAGACGACTGACAGAACGATATGGTCTCAAAACGTATACCCACTCTTGTTCGGGGATTATCCTCCATTCTACTTGCCTATTTAGTTGGCTATTTTGGGTGGGGTGCCTACCAATAACTTGAGATTCTTTGATGTCAGCCTTGCGTTTGGAGCTAAAAGTTTTTACAATTGCTGATACGTTCTACAGTCGATGGTTGCGTGTATTATGGCGTACACTTCTTTCTATTTTTTCATATGACGCCTTGCGGATTGTTAGTTAGTATATAGTTGAGCATAATCGGGAGTCACTGTCCTGTATGACCTCGACTAGGATTCTCACTAGCAGTGAGTAGGTAACTTGGAGTCTGCAGGATCCGCCGTTACGAATGACGGACCAACAAAGCTCATATGCTTCTGAAAAACAAAGTATCCAACTTCCGTAGATAGCATTCAATGCTAATGGCCAACTAACATGTCTTCTTCCGTTCTATATATTTACTTGACCGGACTCGGGTAAAACAGAGCGGAACGATCATTGTATTGGTTGAGTAGGATTGTTACATGATATAAATGTCATTATTTTATGAGTTTTTGTCGTGTGATTGCGTGCTGACGGTACTTTTTATTCGTCTGCATCTGACTTAGTCCATCTTAGAAATTTTTATTGACTTTAGTCACAATCTATTATA